TTCCCTATATCCGAGCAGTACATCGAGGAACGGGCACCTGATGCGGGTGTCGTGTATCCAATACTACATTCAAGATGTTAGTTCTTTAATTTGCCAGCGAGGTGGATGAAATACTTGTTGCTAGAAGAAACAACATATCAGAAACGACCCCAGGACGAGAGGTCGAGAACAGAAACTCACTCAACAACGAGATGAACGCTCCCTCCACTCGTGAAATGCGGTAAATTACCTATCCCCCCAGTCGTCAGTCAGCATATATGCGGCTTGAAACGCAAACCAAAAACGCACTCAACCCAAGACTCTCCATAACCACACCCTGCCCCGTAAAACTCGCATCACCATGCAGCTGCACGCACATCACCTTATCTCCCAACTTACACTCCGCCAGGGACGTCTTAAGTAGTGCGAATTGCTTGGCGCGGGTTTTGCCTAGTGCAACGGGGTTGGCTGCCTCTGTGATTATCCAGTTGTTAGGTACCCAGCCGCATATGCTAAGACTAGCAAGAAAGAGGGCGTACCAAGATGAGAAGGGTTAGGTAGTAGTGACACTTTCAATGGATGTTGGGCACCATAGTCGAGCGTTGGTGATGCAACTACGTGTGTTGATATCGGGCGTGAGTAACGTATATAGCGAGCTATGAGAAGAAAAGAAACTCACCAAGGTGGCTAAGCACGTCGCCCTCCGCGTCTAGGTATTCAGGGATCTCAGAGCCGCCTTTAATTTTGTGGAACATGGCTGTGGGGGAGAATTTGAGGAGGTCTGTGAGGAGATTGAGGCGGCCTCTGTGGGGCATTGCTACATGGGGTGAGGGGCGTTAGTTAGTGTGGGTGTGAGTGGGGTGAAACAAGACGGACCGAGGATGATATGTTGGATCCCGCCTGCGTTGAATTAGAGTAAGTGTAATGGAATGGAGGGTGATGGTACCTTGAGAAGCGGCGCTGAAGAGGGAGTCGAGCGCTGGGAGCATCGATTCGCCTCCTTCGAGGCCGTACTGGATAACATTGACGTTTAGCAATGTAGGGCTAAGGAGAGGAACCAAGCTCACGCGTTTCAGATTCGGGAACTTGAGCTGGAGGAAGTTATCGAATACTTCACTCCTCGCCAACAGCTCATGAACCCTCTTCTTCTTTTGCTCATCCACCACCGTCAGAGGCGTGTCTTCAGGCGACGGCAAGGACTGCGACTCCAACAAATGGGAGAACCACAGCCTCTCCGTCTTGGATGGGGAGTGCATATACTAAGTAAGTGCTCCTCATCAACACACAAACGCTTACTGACAAAGAAAGAAGCACGAACCTCATACCCAATCCTACCAACGTACACCTCCCTCAAATGCCTCCTTATCTCCCCCAAAGTCCACCACTCCGCCTCGTCGCCCTGCTCACCCACGCGCTTGGTCCGCAAGATCCCATTAACGTTATATCTCGCTTCTTCCTCCTTGAGTCCGTATCTCCCCGGAAAAAGCGCGGCGACCTCTTCACGTTGGATCAGGTCCAAAGGGTCGATACGCGCTGCACGATGTCCGTGCGTGCGCATAGATTCGACGTATCGCAG